AGCTTTTGACACGGTCTCCCACAGTATTCTTGTCAGCAAGTTAAGGAAGTATGGGCTGGAAGAATGCACCATAAGGTGGGTAGAAAGTTGGCTAGATTGTCGGGCTCAACGGGTAGTGATCAATGGCTCCATGTCTAGTTGGCAGCCGGTGTCAAGTGGAGTGCCCCAGGGGTCGGTCCTGGGGCCGGTTTTGTTCAATATCTTCATAAATGATCTGGAGGATGGTGTGGATTGCACTCTCAGCAAATTTGCGGATGATACTAAACTGGGAGGAGTGGTAGATACGCTGGAGGGCAGGGATAGGCTACAGAGGGACCTAGACAAATTGGAGGATTGGGCCAAAAGAAATCTGATGAGGTTCAATAAGGATAAGTGCAGGGTCCTGCACTTAGGACGGAAGAACCCAATGCACAGCTACAGACTAGGGACTGAATGGCTAGGCAGCAGTTCTGCGGAAAAGGACCTAGGGGTGTCAGTGGACGAGAAGCTGGATATGAGCCAGCAGTGTGCCCTTGTTGCCAAGAAGGCAAATGGCATTTTGGGATGTATAAGTAGGGGCATAGTGAGCAGATCGAGGGACGTGATCGTCCCCCTCTATTCGACATTGGTGAGGCCTCATCTGGAGTACTGTGTCCAGTTTTGGGCCCCACACTACAAGAAGGATGTGGATAAATTGGAGAGAGTCCAGCGAAGGGCAACAAAAATGATTAGGGGTCTGGAACACATGAGTTATGAGGAGAGGCTGAGGGAACTGGGATTGTTTAGTCTGCAGAAGAGAAGAATGAGGGGGGATTTGATAGCTGCTTTCAACTACCTGAGAGGTAGTTCCAGAGAGGATGGTTCTAGACTATTCTCAGTGGTGGAAGAGGACAGGACAAGGAGTAATGGTCTCAAGTTGCAGTGGGGGAGGTTCAGGTTGGATATTAGGAAAAACTTTCACTAGGAGGGTGGTGAAACACTGGAATGCGTTGCCTAGGGAGGTGGTGGAATCTCCTTCCTTAGAAGTTTTTAAGGTCAGGCTTGACAAAGCCCTGGCTGGGATGATTTAATTGGGTATGGGTCCTGCTTTTGAGCAGGGGGTTGGACTAGATGACCTCCTGAGGTCCCTTCCAACCCTGATATTCTAGGACTTTCCTGCCAGCAACTCATCTTGTAGTTTAATGGACTTGAATTACTTTTGTCCTGCATAGGAGTGTTCTTCTCCTGAGACAGATTGTGTGCTTTGGTGTTTACGATCTGATTTACGATCTGTACTGATTATGTGATAACCTCAGGATAGGTATAAAGGGGTGGAGATGATTCTTATCTAGAAATGTTTATGGGAGGAGGTTTTGCATCTTTCCATCGAGCCCCATTAACAGGTCTTTTATGAAGTTCCAGAACACCAGCAGAAGTCCCACAGATGTCACTGGCCAGGGATTCAGCTGGATATTTACCCTTCAGTAGGGTAAAATGGGGGAGCAGTGATCTAGGTTGAGAGGGAGCTTATTTAAGAGGTATAGTAGTCATACCTCTCAAGGCATTATCCATGAGAAGAAAACATCCGAACAGATCAAGCTCAAAAACCACACCCTGAATTCCTGTTCTAAAACAGCTGACTCAGAGGCGTGAATCTATAAATCTGCTTTCTTTGAACTTTATGCACAGTGGAGTTGAAGATTTTCTCATTCACTATAAGTAATTCATAAAACAAAAAAGAGTTTTTTGTGTTTGGTTCAAGAGTTTCTATCTCTTGCTTTCAAGCCCAAGTTCTGATTCCTTATTGCTAAGGCTACGATTTAGTCACAGAGGGTGCGGAAGTCACGGACTCTGAGACTTCCAGTGACCTCCATGATTGCAGCCTGCAGCATTTAGGAGCCACAGAATCCCCCATTGTCCGTGAGGGGCAGAGTGCTGCGGGGTAAGTGGCAGGGCCCCTGGAGTTCCAAGCCACCACAAGTGGTAGGGGAAACCCAAAGCTCCTGGCCCCGACAGGCAGCAGGGAACCCCGCAGCTCCTGGCCACCGCAGGCGGCAGTGGAAGCTCCGAGCTCCTGGCTAACAGCAGGCGCCCATGGAGCTGCTGTAGGCCCCCCGGAGCGGTGGGCGATGGGGGCAGCTCACGGCTGCCATAGGACCCCAGAGCTGTGGGTGGCAGGGGCAGCTCGCGGCTGCCACAGGTGGTGGGGGCAACCTGCAGCTCCCAGGAGGGGGGGGACCCAGCAGCTCCTGGCCGCCGTGGGCCCTTGGAGCTGTGGGTAATGGGGGGCCCCTTGAGCTCTGATATCCAACCTGTGGTGGGGGACCCTGGAGCGCCTAGCCACACATACAGCGGGCAGGCTGTACGGGAACCCACAGATCCCCATTTTGTCACAGATGTTTTTAGTAAAACTCATGGACAGGTAACGGCTTCCGTGAATTTTTCTTTATTGCCTGTGACCTGTCTGTGACGTGACAAAATCTTAGCCTTACTTACTGCATAGCGCTAAAGAGTCTGGACAGGAGTGCAAATTTATGGTGAAATCTAAAGGAAGAAAGCCAGTGACTAAATGGATGTGGGAAACAGGGGGATTAGTAATAGAATACAAATCCAGTTCAGGTTTGTAGTGATAGAAAATGATCTAATGGCTGATCTGTCGCATAGGCCACCAAAGTTTGGTCTGAGTCCAACTGCCAATGGAGAACTGATCCTGACACAAAAATCTCCTTCGTAACTGGCAGTCTCAAGAGAAGGGCAAAGTACTGAATCAGCTTGCTGAGTCACACCCTAGAGGTGGTCACTCTCGAGGTTAAAGTAAACTGCCAGACTTAGGAGGGGACCGAAAGTTTGTACATTACTGCATACGCTGTACCTGTTTTGTAGAGGGGAAGTGTCCCAAGTACGGCTGACCTGGCACCTTTTACTAGCACTGAATCCATCCATGCATAAAAAAACAAACAAAAAGACAAACAAAAAAACAGGAGAGAAGAAGGACTCAAGTGACTGTCCTAATGATGATCCTATTGTGAGTGCTCTCACCTGACTTTCAGAAATGCTGAACAGAGTTCCAGCTGTCAGCAGGAGCTGTGAGTGTTCAGAACCTCTGAAAATCAAGCCCCTGTGCCCAGGGTGCTGAGGGTAGTAGAAAAACTTAGATATGAACAAACAGAACTTAAACATTAAAATTGCTTTTGATGCTTGAAGCCGCCAGGCTCTCAGAAGAGCTCAGATGTTCCAAAATACTTAGCACCCAGCCACTGTCATTGTGACGTTGAAGGCCAGGTTCTGAAGAACTTACCTTGTTGCCAGTGTGCTGGGCTCCTTTGAAAACCTTGCTACTTATTTTGGAAAATAGAAGCTGAATTATTTTGAAAAACTGGCCATTGTTGTAAAACTTGTTCTTGTTTCCTTTCCTCGTGGCAGAGGCCTCCCCCAGCAGATAATTTATGCATGCTACTGTTTACATTTTTAAACCAGCACACACATCTGATTTACTTCGGAAAGTCTGTTCCCTTATAGGATAGTGTGGCAAATTGCCGGCACTACTTTGATGGGTCTCGCGCTTTCTCTTCTTGGGGAGGGTTCAGGGCACCGTTTCTCACCCCTGAACTGGGGTATTAACTGCTCCACTAGTGTCCTAGAGGAGGGGAGTGGAGAGGGAGGGACCCGGGCCCGACCTCTACTCGGGTCCCAGCCCAGGGGCCCTAGGGATAGCGGTAAATCGCTTAAACTAGAGGTTCCTTCCCCTGGGCTACTTCCGTCTCATGCCCTTCAGCTTGTGGGGCTTCCTGCCCTCCCTCTGCACAAACCAGGTGTCCCTTTACCTAGGGTCTTGGTCGTCTTAGCCCACTGCAGCACTTCTCCAAATTCTCCTCTGCTTCCCTCCAAACTGCTCTCTGCTCCAGCACCAATCCACTCTGCTTCAACTCCTTCCCTTGTCTGATTGAAGCAGATCAGATGACTGGCTTCAGGTGCTTTAATTAATCTATAGCAAACTTTCTTCCCTGTACAGGGAATAAGGCTCCCTTCTGACCCTCTCCTGCTGCCCTCTGGCCATGCTGTATCACAATAGATAGATCTGTTGTATTCCATCTGTGATTTAGCTGGGCAGATGGGTTCAGAATAAACCATTGAAAACCGTTGCAGTGTTGGCATTCATTATTGTTTAAAAACATTTTTGTGATTTGTGTAACAGAATTTATCTAATTTCTTTTATAAGAACTGTGTGTTGAATCCAGACACGTCAGAAATATTTGTTAATTTTCTTTCAGTCAACAGCACACATTGTGTGCTTGACATATCTTTCATAAATAAGGTTTGATTTATCTAGGACAGTGGTTTTCAAACTTTTTTTCTGGTGGCCCAGTTGAAGAAAATGGTTGATTTCAGCAGAGCTGGGGATGAGGGGTTTGGGGTGCAGGAGGGGACTCCGGGTTTGGGGGGGGCTCAGAGGTGGGAGCACAGGCTTACTTTGAGCGGCTCCCAGTCAGCAGCGCAGCGGGGGGTGCTAAAGCAGGCTTCCTGCCTGTCCTGGCACTATGGACCATGCTGCTCCCCAGAAGTGGCCAGCAGCAGGTCCGGCTCCTAGACAGAAGCACGCAAGTGGCTCTGTGCAGCTGTCACCCGCAGGCACTGCCCCCCCCCCCCAGCTTCCATTGGCTGATTCCTGGCCAATGGGAGTGTGCAGCTGGTGCTCGGGGCGGGGGCAGCGGGCGGAGCCCAGTGTCGTGTCCGCCCCCCTCCGGAGCCAGACCTGCTGTGCTGGCTGCTTCTGGGACATAGTGTGCTGTCGCAACAGGTCGGGACTTTTAATGGCCCGGTCGGTGGTGCTGACCAGAGCCGCTGGGACCCAGTGTCTTACATTCTGCAACCCAGTACTGGGTCACGACCTGCAGTTTGAAAACCACTGATCTAGGACATGGGCTTCAATTTATATTATCTCCAGCTTGCATGTTGTGTTAACCCCAATACCATTCTTCGATAATCACTCTAAACCTTTGTGGCTTGGTGTCTTTTCTCTCCCCCTCTTCTGTTTTGAGCAGCACATCTGCTTTGACTGTAAAAAGAATTTTTGCACTTCCTGTTCAAGCCAGCCTGAAAGCAGTCCCCTTCTCTGCCATCTCTGTCAGCGGTTCCAAGCCACAGCGTTTCAGCGGGAGGAGTTGATAAAGATGAAGGTGAAGGATCTACGAGACTATCTGGCACTCCACGAGGTTTCCACAGAGTTGTGCCGTGAAAAGGAAGACCTGGTGTTTCTGATTCTTGGGCAACAGCCTGTAATCACCCAGGAGGATAGAATACGAATCCCGCCGTTAAATTCTGGCACATCTGGACAGCAAAGCTTTGTGATTCTGCCAGAGACCAGCACAGCATCTTCTACCTCACATGGAGATACCTCTCCAGTGTCTGCAGACTCCATCTTGAGTCCAATAACTCAGGAACATCAACAGGTACACCAGTCTCCAGTTAGAAGCACCTTTAGTGTACTTATTCCCTCTCGTTGTCAGATTAATTATTGAGATGCTGCCTGTGTTTTTGCCATCAAAATTCTGCACATATCTTCCTTGATTAAAGATCAGTGCCATGAGACTGCAGGGCTTCTATTTACCACAAACGACAGTGCTTCAGCTGCGTATTACGCATGGCTGTCCCCATGTTCATAGTAAAGCTAAGTCCAGGGGGTCAAATCCTGAGGTCCTTGCTTAGGCAAACACCCACTGATTGCAGTGTTTGAGTAAGGACCTCAGACATTTTGCTGTAGAATGAATTCCTTTAGTTTCTGAATTGTTCTAACTTGTGAGTTTCATTGTTGCTGTTTGTCAGTTGTGGCATTTGTCCTGCCTGCATTAATGGAATTTAATTTTTTTTTTTTTTGGACTTTCAACCTTATTTTTGGATCTTGTTTGGATATACTGGATACTTCAGTCACTGTTTTAAGGCAGTCTGATCATTGCTTTGTTTTGCACCCTTACATCAGCACTGGATACTCCTGTGACTAATAAGTTATATGGATATTTAATATCTATACTGATGCTAAAGCATATTTTACTTCCTTTTCTAGCCAGGATGTTGATATCATACTGACAACTACAAGCAGCTGTTAAAATGTTATATCCTCATTCTGTATTTCCTTATTTCTTGTGCCAGGAGGTCTCCAAAATTTCAAAGTGATATTGGAGTTGAAACAGTGGGGGAAGAGGATGGTTGAGGGGGCTCCTGGAGTCTGATCATCTACTGATTTGGGTCTGCAGAAATGCTTTGACTGAGGCCAAAAGTTATTAGTCCTGGCACAGAGAGTGCCAGAAACGGTCCAGCTGAATTCTTTTAGAGGAAATTAGTCATCTGATTATTTATATTGCCTTGCTTTGTTGTTAGGCTTTCTACTGACTGCTGTGGAATGTTTCCTTAGGGCTTGTCTATACAAACACTAAGTTCAGAGCAAGCTGGGGTGTAAATCTACCTCACATTAGCCTGCCGCACACTAGAAGTTCCCTACTGTGCTTTAATCTACTCCTATTTCAAAGTGGGATAGATCCAAGTGCACTGTGGAACTTTGAGTGCATGGCAGCAGGGTCCATGCAGATACTTAGTGCACTAGTGCGAGGTGGATTTACAACCCAGCTTCCTGTGAACTGTTTGTTTAGACAAATCTTTAATGTTTAACATCTACTCTGGGCCTTCCTGGCGGGCTTACTTATCCTGGGGCCATCTCAGAAAGTGTGCTGCTTAGTTTCTCTATAGGTGTATCATGAGGCATGGTATCTTGTTTAAAAATGGAGTTATTCTTGAGGACATCTTTCACGCGTGGAGTTAGAAGGGCTTCTTACTGCCATCGCGGTAGCTCATGTTTGGAAATACCTGTGTTCACCTATGAGTTCTAAGTTTTTTCTCCAGCAAATTTCAGCTCCTGGCTTGACTCCTGGTTTCATCTGGTCATCTTGTGGGAATTCTCAGTAATATCAGCTCTTAAAATGCTTTTCATTTTCCTAAAGTTTTACAGATATTAACTGATCACAGTTACCCTAAGTAGTAGGGGAACATTCTCTCCATTTTTACTAAAAGGCAAACTGAGGTGGAGAGGATAAATACCATGCCCAAAGCCACAGATGGGGAATCAATAGGAACTGGGATTACAGGTCTGTTCCTTTCACCCAGTCCAGTGTTCAGAACCCCTGCCCTCCCTCTCCAGCTGCCATTGTCCTGTCCCCATTGCAGCTTCTCACCCCTACCTGTCCACACAGCACTCCACTCTAGGGAAACCGTAATCTCCAGAGCAGTTTGAGGTGTGGGAGCTGGAGGAGAGGGGCAGCTAATCCCTCACTTAACATCTCCAACACAACACGCCAAACCCAGCAACAATGTGCAGAGAGCACCGTGCCCTAATGGTCATTGAGTAACTGATCTGAGCAATCTTGAAGTGGTCTCTCAATGAGAAACACAGCACAAATTCTTGACATATTCTAGTGATTGTGCTGTCAGTGACATCACACATGGATGCCACCTCACAATGAAGGATTGTAGAGCAGTGTCAAGATTTCACATCATGATAATCAGGTGGCTTTGTGCAACGCCATTTTGAGTCTCTATACCATCTGTCTCCTCCCAGTCCAGACTCGTAAGCCCCGTGAGAACAACATGTGGGGGTATATTGTACATCATCAAGTATTCTAACAGGGCTCAATATATAATAAGGTGGGACCTGAAAGGGCCAAATGTAACACTAAAGTTTCAAATTGAGTTTTACTTGTTTAAGTGTCAGGAATGTAGTATAGGAAACTTACTTTCTGCTAACGTGGCAGGAATGTAGTATAGGAAACTTACTTTCTGCTAACGTGGCTCTGTTTTGTCTTGTAATGACTTTCCTAATTCCACCGTATGTAGTGCATGCTCTGTGCTCAAGCCCATTTCCACTCTGGATATGCAGGGAGATTCCCTGCTGGTGAAAGATTTATTTCCTCTTCTAGGCAAATGGGCATGTGCCTCCAAGCCAAGACGATATGACAGAAATTGAGAATGCAGCAGAAGCACCAACAGAGGAGGAGACACAGGTTTGTGTGTGTCCCCTAAAATCAGACCATAGAAATAGGAAGGGTTCTTATAAGGGTTATTTCGTCCAACAGCCAGCTAGTGAAGAATTGCCCCTACCGCGGGTACTGCACAGAGCAGCAGAATAGCAGTTCGGAGTACAGCCGCCAGAAGACACTTTTCTGTACGTGGAGAATGGCAGGATGACCATATATGCAGAGCACCTGGTGTCACTTTAACACACGTGTCCTCCATAGTGGAGGACATTATAATGTAACTTTATAATAGGAGGAGGTGCTTTTATCTCCCTCCTAGAAGGCCCCTGTGTTCCTCGTAACTGGAAGGATGAAAGATCATTCACCTCCATGGATGAGTTCCTGCTAGTAAACCTACGAAAAGCTGCTTTGAATTCTGTCATCACATTGTGAGGTCAAATGTTAGTCTGTCTTTGTTCCATTTCAGTCTGTTGACTCGGAGGATAACCTGGTACAGGGACGGAGGGCCTCTCTTTCTGACCTAACGAGTGTCGGAGACATTGATGCACTCTCTGTGCGACAGCTGAAGGAAATCCTGGCTCGCAACTTTGTCAACTATAAAGGCTGCTGTGAGAAGTGGGAGCTGATGGAGAGAGTGACCCGTCTTTATAAAGAGAAGGACCTTCAGCATCTGGGTAAGGAGGAGGAACTGAATCAGTTTGCCAGGCTAACTGTCCTTCTCAACTCTTCGCTTTGGCATCAGCAGAAGCAAGCAGCAAGTCAAAGGGAGAAGGGGCTATGGTCTCCTTTTTCTTCCCTCCCTCTTCTCGAATGGCTCCTCCAAAAGTTTCTGCCTCTGCCCTTTGCAAGTGAGAGTTGGGACAGAGGCATCAAGGACTAAATAAACAAGGCAAGAGCGTGTCAGAGTGAATGCTGGTAAACTTATGGTTAGGCTTAAAGAGACAAGGTGGGTGAGGTAACACTAATTGTCAACCTCACGTCAAAAGATACAGAGTAAATATCCTTAAATCAAACTCTTAAGTTCTAAAGCAGCCCTATCTTACTTTGCTTATGTGTACATTTTGATTATTGATGGAAATATTTAATTCATCAGTTTGTTTGTACTGTGAAACCTGTTTATCCATATTTACCAATAATCTAACCTGCCAAGCCTATGGTTTACCACTACCTGTGTTTACCTACATAAAAGCTTTGTTAGTGTGGTTCAACTCAGGAAGGCAACTGCTCCATTGTGTATTGAGAGTGAGAGTGATTGACTCTAGTGACAAAATGTGTTCTTCCTGCCAGAGCCAACAGAGCTGTGGAAGATTCGAGCTACCACCTAATTCTTAAAAAAAGGAGGACTTTTGGCACCTTAGAGACTAACAAATGTATTTGAGCATAAGTTTTCGTGAGCTACAGCTCACTTCATCGGATGCATTCAGATGAAGTGAGCTGTAGCTCACGAAAGCTTATGCTCAAATACATTTGTTAGTCTCTAAGGTGCCACAAGTCCTCCTTTTCTTTTTGCAAATACAGACTAACATGGCTGCTAGTCTGAAACCCACCTAATTCTTGTGCATCATCACCAGAACTGTTAAGTTCCAACCAGATGCATTCATGCATATCTGTGGCCAGCAGTTTCTATAGGTTATTACTGAGGGGCAATTGGAAAATAGTTGTTATATAGGTCTCACTGAGGGCTTTGTTAGCTCTGCAGATTCTTTGTTCCTGGGGGTGACTTGCAACAAGGAAAGAACCCATTTTAATTCTCAGAACTCAGGTTGAGTTTCAGGGCTAGTAGTTAGAAAAAAATGTTTCTTTATTTGTAAACTGAGGCTATTTGTTATGGACTCTGAGAGGAGATAAACATGGAAACCCGCTATGCCAATTGTTGAGAATCATTTTAAGAACAGAATCTTTAATTTTCAGGTTTAGAGCTGTATTTATTTTTGATCATCATTTACAGGGGAATATCAACTTAAATCAAACCTCTCTCTGAAATTTGTAACGTACTATCGTTAAAGTAAGATTATAACTAAAGGAAGGACCAGAAGACTTTTCTTCCTGCATTTTGTTTACTTTGTGCTTTAGCCAAACACTTTGCATATAGTCACTCAGTTTGCCTCCTGTGAGGATCTTTTGTACCAGAACATAGTGAGGAAAACTTTTAGAGAAATTGTGTAAAACCACAAAATTGGAGTTCAAGTGATGTCTTTTTATAAAATACAGAAATAATTTAAGATAGTCATTTTGCTTTGTAAGGTCTTAAATTAACTGTACTTGAAGTAGACAATCTATTAGCCTACCCATAGTCGTCGTCCTACATAATGCAGCTGTTCTCCTCTCTTTTTATATTGCAGTTTCCGACACGGATGATCAAAATGGTAAGTAATTTGTTTGTTCAACGATCTCACCACAAAGATTCTCAGGACTAATTGTTGCTCTTGTGTGCTCATATGGGGGGGTGTTTGTTCTAGGCATAAATTTTCAGCTCCTCCTTCTCAGATGATCAGGTAAATAGTCCCACATCGGTATCAATGCAGGGCCAGGAGCAGGACTGTTTACAAGTGCTTAGTACACTTGTGAAAAGATGGTGCTTCTGAACTTTAGTCTCACATAATTATACATAATTTGATATTTGACACTGAAGCCACTATTAATATATGTGTATTGGATAACACTGAACATCCTGTCCTAACGCCATGATATCGTTTCTTTAAATCTAATACGTATAACCCCTTTTGTCTTCAGTTTCCTCAGGCAGTGCAGGGCTCCCTAGCACTGAAGAGAATCTCTGCAAAATCTGCATGGACTCACCCATCGACTGTGTCCTGTTAGAATGTGGCCACATGGTCACCTGCACCAAGTGTGGAAAGCGTATGAGTGAGTGTCCCATATGCAGGCAGTATGTGATAAGAGCTGTCCATGTATTTAAGTCCTGAGTGAGCATGAGGAAGACCAGTGTTGCCTTAAAGCCTCATCCGCTGTTAGAGATGGTCAAAAACCTCTACAGGTAGGTCAGAGACTGGCACGCAGGACCTCACAAGAAACCTGAAGTTCACAGGCGAGATGAGGAAAGGAGAAAGCTTGGGGAATTGTTCTGATTAAAGCCATTGACTGGCTGTGCCCTTCACACCACAGTGCTTTACCCTGCAGTACCTAGACTCCAGGAGCCCACCGTCAGCAGCAGAGATGGAAATAATTAACAGCTTGCATTCTAGGCTAGCTTGATCAACTGATGAGGGGGGACAAATAATCACTTGGCTTTCCAAAACTGACCCCAGCTTCCGAGGCTTATTTCCTCCACAGTAATAAATAAGGTGGACTGAGGTTTTGGCACGACATTTGCTTTTGTTTTGCTGCTACTGAATTCTCCCATTCTGGTTCCCTCTTTAATTTGCTCTGTTCCAGGTCACACATCCACTGGTATTTTTATTTTCAGGGAACAAAATCTTATTGGGCTGGTTCCCTCTCCCTAGGCTTTGCTTTTTTTTTAAAAAAACGTGTAACTTTATTTTAATCTCTAGTTCCTTATGCTTGCAGGCCAGGCTGAACTTTTGTCCTCTGTGGCCTTTAGCTTTTTCATATTCAGAATTTATTTCAAAGCCAAGCCCTGTAAGATCACGGTGAAACATTCACTATTGCTACACCTTAATATGGAAAGGAGGCAAGACTTCATACTGTTAAAGATGCACTCTTCCCCTTTGAAAGACAAGAGGCAGTGAAGTGGCTTAGGGCATAGAGCCTCCTCTTGAAGCTTACCCAGCATAGGCAGCGTTTGTCTTCCTCCTGCCTACAATTTGCCTTTCCTTGGTGGTTCTTTGTTATAACACCAAAGGATGGTGTGTCGCCTGCAGGGTACGTAAGAAATCCCTGTATACCTGAACTGGCTGAGAGTCAACCTCCTCCAGTGACTAATGAGTTGGGACCCTGAGGCCCTAGTCCCCTACCATGTTTGAACACTAGTGGAAAAATCCACTATGGCCAGAGTAGTGCTCCTAAAAGGGATTGGTGAGACATTTCAATCATGAAGCTCTCAGCAGTGTATTCTTATAACGATCTCCTAAGGCCTAGAGATGAAGCTGTCAGAGAGAGATTGTGAAGTTTGGAGGACTTTTTTCCACTGTGAACCTCTACAGCTGGGTTGTGTATTTTCAGTCTCATTTCTTGCTGTCTGCTGATTTGTCTTATGATTTGAGGATAGTGATGATCAGTCCTCAGCCTTCCTTTTTCTGCCTGTTTACCAATTCACTGTTCCAGAGTCCTGATGTGTTGCCAAATATGCAAAGACGGTTTGCTGAAGAGCACAAGATAACTTCTCCATTTTCCTTTTATGGGGATGAGGCTACAGCTTCACCCTTAGAGAGAATTCTGCAAGGTAGACTTGGGACATCAATCAAAAACTGTTCATGACATCTGTGGTTTAGAAAGTCCCAGTGGACCTATTGCAGTGTTTTTTCCCCTCTATGGGGTATTAAAAAAAAAAGTTATCTTACAAGGTGTTCTGGAAATACTCCATTCTGAACTGCCAGAAAAATATTCAATTTCAAAATCATCCTATTATGCGTTAAATAAGATTTTTCAGCTAAATTAGGGTTACACTGGGGTCTTATCTTATGCCACATGGCTCCTGGACCCATTTAAGGCTTAACAGTTGTTTCCAATTGTTTTTCACACACAGTTGTAGGCCTTACATGAACTGTAACTTTGAGTTCTTCTTACATTATCATAGTAAGTGCAGGGGTGTTCCGAATGAATGTGTGGGCACATGCATGGTATGGTATAGGGCCAGGAGCAGCATCTCTATACAAAAATTGTATTTGTCCACTCGAATGAGAGTGGCCATTCCTAGGCTCTGCACCATTAGAGAGGTCTGTAAAGAAGCAGCTTCTATGGATGGATCTAGGTACGCTTGTGGTAACAGCTGGTAATCTTAAGTAACTGCCAACCTATGTAAGCTTTGCAACTATTTAACAGTGCTGTAAATAACAGTAGCAATGCCTCTGCTGCAAGAAATGCCTGGGGTGTGTGTTGGGGGGGGGGAGGGGGTCTGTCTTGTGGAAGAGAGTAAACCATTCCTGGTAGCTCATAAGTATCATTCATGGATAGATATTTAAAGGAAGGGGCCTCTGCCCTGTGATCTGCAGCACCTGTCTGTTAGAGAAGGCCTTTACTTTTAGTTGTAGCAGTTCCTGTAGAGGAAGGACAGGAGCCTCACCTTGTTTCATGGATCTGTGTCCTTGCCCTGTCTCTCTTCATTTCATGGTAAGAGAGCTGCTACTTCTGGACAGTTTGACCTGTTTTTATAATCTCTGGCAAAAGGCTGAGCCCAGACTTTCCTAAACAGAGGGGTACTGATACACATTTTGCCAGCAGCTAAATTGTATTATGTTAAATACTCTTCCCATACAAGTAATGGCTGAAGTTACTATTGAGCTGTTCAATCATGAATGGGAAGAGGGTGTTTACATCAACCTCTACATGTGGCCTAAACTTATGAACCCCCTGATCTAGCAAATTCACTGTGAAAAATAATGCATTTTACCATGTTCAGCAATAACCTCAGGCCGGAGGGGCTTAGGTGGAGGAAGACACTTTCCCTAGTCAGTGAGTAAGTTTACTTAGCTTCTGGTCTTTAAGGTTCTTCTGCCTGTATTCTACAGTAGAAAGGCCCTAGTGCAGATCAGTTTTTGCAGGGATGATGTACACACCCACCTCAAGCTTGCAATTTGCCTTCCTAGTTTGGTAGTGAATAGTTTTCCCATTGCAAAAATTGATTCTTTGCTGTAGGGGTGACTGATAGAATTTATTTTTAAGTGAAACTTTTAAAAGCCAGAGGAAACTGGTTCATAATCCAAAGGAATATACTGATCTGAACTAATAAATATATTAAAATAGTCAAGTGCTTTATGTACAGTGTACACATTTGTTCAAATATTTTGAAAGTTAATGTTCTACTTGAAATGGATTCTATTAAATTCTTTAAATCCTAGTAAATAGACTAGTTTTGGTACAGAGTTCTGCTTTATAATTTTATAATAAAGTGAAAATTTGATTTATCCAACTATTGATATTTTCTGAGTTTCTCTCTTTTTGGGAGCAGCAGAGGGCTTGGCAGAGATGTTTGACTTACTGCTGCTTTTGAAGTTTAAAAGATAAGGAGAAGCATGAAACAAAATACCCCTATGCTGTGTAGTATATGAACCTGAATGTAAATTCATCACCAAGCTCCCCCGACCCAACCTGGAGCTATTCTTCCTCAAAAGTCTGAGGAAGAAAAGATGGAGAAAGCTCAACTCTCAACAGTAGAAATCTTTAACCTACTTATAGCAAAGTAGTCAACTGCCATTGAAGTCAACAGGACTTGAGGGTGATCAGCCTTTTGCCATTTTCATATTATGTGTTTAATGCAGGTGTGTGTAAACACTAATAAGAGCCAACACAACCGCTGCAAAGCAACTTGTAACCAACATGCAAAGTTAAACTACATCCTAAAGCTTAAAGTGAGCAAGAAAATTAAAATAAAAACCTACATTAATAGGCCTCACTAACAAATGTCTGAAATCCTTTTGAGCATCTTACTAAATTGATTCCAAGAAGCCTGTTGGAAAAGGAAGAACCCATTGTGTTTCCTTAGAATTCCTGAGCATGTTTTGGCCTAAATTTATCAAATTGCTTTATGTACCTGAGGGGCATAGGTCATCCCACCTGACAATCAGATCCATTAGACCATCTCTAAAATGACCTTTTGAGAGGCAATTTGGTTACAGTCCACATTCAATGGAATGATACTTCAGACAAAACTCTGAACACTGCCTCACTTGAGGTAGAAACAAATAATCCAAGTGTGGATTAGAGAAATATTCCTAGACACCAACAAGCCAGAGATCTTCGGTTCATGCTAGAATGGAACAGTCCTTAAGTTAGAGGCATTGCCTTGAGAAGCAAGTTGTTATAAAATGAGTGGGGTAGAGCAAGCATCCCACCGCATCTACATGCTTCCACCGTTTCCTTTATAAGCAGCCTAGGAAAATCATCAGAGAGAAATACAATTTTCCTTATAGTACCTTATTTAAGTGCTGCCATGAGTGAAACAGTCCAGCCCAAACCTTGGGTGCTGAGTGGCCTTCCCTGGACTAAAGACTTCATTACCCTGCAATGATGGAGAAACCACATGGTACATTCACATTACAGGAGCTAGAGGTTGAGGGGAGAGTAGGGAGGCTTCATGTTCTACAAGGTGGGGCAGGGGAGAAGATGCATCTGCTGCTTCACACGCCATGGCACTGGGAGCATGAGCATCATACTATCACTTGAACCTGACCCAGCAGCTACAGGTTTGGCTGTTCTGAGCCAGCCTTGCTTGTAACACACTAGGACAATCACAACAGTAACTTTCTAATAAAGCACTTGGACTCCAAAATCCATGATTTTTTACTTTCCAAGTTATCAAACCCCCATTAAATATCCATCTATTTCTCTGCAACCCTATTTTCTATCTGAGTCCCACCCCCAGGCCATACATGAGCTGTGTATTCATAAAGTTTAGTGTCATGGAATAGTCTGCAGTATATTTAGATGGCAAAACCTGCAAATAACTCAGCTCCCAAGTTTCACTCCATGAAATGTGCACAGCAGCCAAGAGATCAGATTACTTCTCCATGGCACTGATGTAACCAACTACTACTGGAATAGTCTGGTGGCCACAATTCAAGGAGATTGAAAAATTGGAGGGGGGTTTAGAGAAGAGCCATGAGAATGGGAAAAGATTGGAAAACATCCCGGATATTGATAGGGATCCTGGAGTCCGTTTAGCTAAATCTTCTCTTAAGGGATGACTTGATCACAATCTGTAAGTACCTACATGAGAAACGGCTCTTCAATCTAGCAGACAAAAGTATAGCGAAATTCCAATCCCTGGAACTTGAGGTTAGACACATTCAGACTGGAAATGAGGCACAAATGTTTACAGTGAGGGCAATTAACCACTGGAACAACTTACCCAAGGCTGTGGTGGATTCTCCACTGCTGGCCACTTTAAGACTAGATTTTTTTTTCTAAACACATTAATTCAGGGAAGTCCTATGCTCTGTTATATGGTCATAGTGGTTCCTTCTGGCTTTATAATCGACAAATTCCAGGAGACACTGGCACAGAATTAGCTCTTCACTAACTGTTGATCCCAGCAGCCTGGTTGTGACAAAAGAATATCTTGGGGACACAAACCCTTAATGGAAGTTTATTTGGCCCAGTTTTAAAATGAAACACTGTCTAAACTGTTTCTGGATGCTAGCCTATAGCTCTGATTGTTAAAACACGTTAGCCTAGCCAACAACAGTCTTAAAATAAAACAGAGGAGAAAATACCAAGCAGTATAAATGGCAGAGTGTTTAGACTAGCCTTCCTTTGTTTGAACTATAATAGTGCAGCAAGTTCATACTGGTAATAGGTCTATAGGAAGTTGTACACGCTGCCAGGGTTTGTCTTCTGTTCAGATACAGAACAGCCTGAGAAAAATATCTGTGTCCTTACCGGAAAGGAGAAGACACTGTGTAGTTTTTATTTATAAAAATACCCAAACTTTAAAACAAAACAGATGAAACCAGCACCGAGAGCGAATGGACGGGTTCAAATGATGGGCAGAAAGAACGGATTCCAATGGTGCCATCTTTTAGTGAGATCTCTGAATTCATTCCAGCTGGCACTGATAAAAATCAAAGTGGTTGCTATGGATCCTTAGAACCCACCTGTGAGGAACTCCAGACATTTGATAGAGATGTGGATAGAAAAGCAAAGGATCTCAGCCTTTCTTCCACCTGCCTAGTTGCTGCTGTTCCCTTGTGTTCCTAGAGCACAGCAGTGTTGGGCCAGGTAGCTGCCTTGAGTTTTTAACGGGGGGCCACTAGCCTCCGTTTCCGGATACACTCCCAGATCCAGTCAGGAGAGACGCGCTTGGCTCCAAGGTTCTCATCAACATCCCCTATTACATGTGTTGCTGAGGCAGTGTCGAACTCTTGCACAAGGTCTCCATCATATGCCACAAAGTACCGGCGGATTTTGCTGAAGTCCTCCACGGAGGGCGGTAGGTACAGCTTCACCCCTGTAAATATGTCCAGCAGCATCTGCAAATTGTGGGGAAATAGAAAAAGATGGTGAGGAGAAATAAGATTGGGAAAGAGACTAGAGTGGTCTGGGTGCTTTACTAGATTAAGCGCTCTTTAGGCATGGACTCTCACTACATACAGCTCCCACCGCAAGGGGGCTGACAGAGGTCTCTGGGTGCTACTTGTGAAAGTAGAATGAATTATATTGAAATTATAATTCATTAAAGAAATGCTGCTTGAAGGGTTTGTTGAAGTATGGTTGTCAGGAAGAGAAACATCAAGGAGTGTGAGACAATGGGTCCTCAAACTAATTAACTTAGAGCTCCTACTGAGCTAGGAGATTGGTAAACATTAGTATGCAAATAAGATATGTATATATCTTGTCAGTTTCTGCTTCCTTTTGTCTCCTATGTTAAATTGGCTTTCCCTTATCTGTTTAAATAAGTTAGCTTGAGCTTTTGCAGGAGGCTCACATATCTGGGTGCACTGGCAAAGCGCTTTGCTAATAAACAGAGTGGTCTGACAAATTCAGTGAGTCTTGAATCTGACTTTGACATACTGCAACACAAATAAGGATGCAGCTTATTTAATACAAGCTTTGGGAACAGACTCTCTTTCCTCCATGCTGAAAATGTTCAGTATAGTTTCAAATGGGACCTCCCAGCAGGAGGTGAACAGGGAGCACGCTGAAGAAGCAAGATGCCCCCCAAACTCAGATGGGTAGGAAGCACAGGGCGTTACCTTCTGTGTTGCCACTGTGCAGTGTGAAAGCTACACATCTGTTCTGAGACACGTAGTGGTGGATTAGCAGGTGGTGCTGTAGGTAGGGGTTAATAGAGCCAACCCCTTACTCACTCTGCAGCAATGCCTGCTAAGAACCCAGCAGGGCCCCCCCCCCCCAAGCAGACATTGTCAAACTGAATAAACGCCCTCCAGCTCCCCAATCTCAGTTCTTTGAAAGCATTCAGCAGGTTCCAAGCACAAGCCCCTCAAGTACAGAGTCCTGTGCGCTCAGAAGAGGGGGCTGCAAACCAAGAGGATCCTGTTTTAATCCCAGTTCTGAGGCTGTCTTACCATTGTAAATCCCTCACTCTTTGGGCTTCAGTTAATCCATCTGCACTGGGACCTCTCTCACACAGACACACTCCTGTGAAAGTCAGATACTGCAGCTGAACTCTCCGTCCATAGCTAAGTGCCTTACCAAGAGCTACAGGGACACGATTAGCCCCAACGGCTACCTCTCGCCGGCTGCTCTCGGGGCCCAGCGACCGAAACATGTCTGCTGCTGAGGCTACGTCTACCCTAGACACTTCAAAGCGCTGCCGCGGGAGCCCTCCAGTGGCCGCACTGTGAAGTGTGAGCGTGGTCGCGTGCGAGCGCTGGGAGAGAGCTCTCCCAGCGTTCCACCTCCATGAGGGGACCGGCTCCGAGTGCTGGGAGTGCTGTTTCTAGCGCTTGGAGCCTGGCCACACGAGCGCTTTGAAGCGCTCCAACTTGCTGCGCTCAGGGGGGTGATTTTTCACACCACTGAGCCAGCATGTTAGAGCGCTATAAAATGTAAGTGTAGCCAAGCCTGGAGATGCCCAGTGACTTTGGCAGTTGGTGTTTTTCAGTTTATCTAGTGCAGCATGGTAGCCCTGAGAGTTCGCACTTGCTATCCCCATCAGGAGTGTTCCAGCCGACACTAACCCAGGGACTGCTCCCACAGGTTTCCATGGACCTGGTCCCGCACCCCACCCCCAGCTCGTACAGAGCGAAGCAGAGGCGTTGCGCTCTCTCTCTCTCTCCATGCAAAGGCCACAAAGCTCAAACCTTCCACAAAGAACTCAGCAGGGCCAGCACAGCCTGCTACAGGAGCCAATGCACTTGCTTGTTGAAGGATTTATTGCTGATTGGCACAGCAAAGCCCAATTTTTCCAGCCCGTTCCTCATCTACTGTGTCACGTGAAAGCTCCTTTAC